AATAATCAAATTAAAAAGAATCAGTAGGTTATGACATAGTTGAAATTCTATTATTATAAGATATTAGTTTGATCAAATCTAAAGGATTCTACATAACACAATTATTTTCCAAGATTACTTAAACATAATTAAACAAATTCTAATTATACAAAAATTTCAACAAGAACATGCATAATAGTAATCCACACAACCCAAAAATCTGCAACTGTTAACTCAGATACGCAGTTATAAAATACAAGTTAAAACTGTATCTAATGTTATATAATTGTAAGCCATTTCACATTATAGCAATGAGGGTATATCTGCTTAACTATTTTTTTGCTTTCAGATATTGACAGTAGGAAGATGAAGTCTCTCTTTGAAACCTTTGAATCTGTATTAAAAACCATAAAGTCTTCTGCAAGTTAGATCAGTAAGCCTGTAACTGAGCAAAACCCACAAGATATTTGTGCCTTAAATATTAGAATAACGAGTAATAAATTAAATAGTACTGTAAGTTCTTCTATACTGCTTGACTCATAGTTACATATCTTTACTTACATGGAATTCTGGTCATTTTATTTTCCAAACTGCCATTGCATTACTAAACCTTCCTTATCATATTGCTGTCCGTGTTTTTCAGGTAGGGCTTCTATATTAGTTCTGAGCTTTAGAGATTAAACAATAGTATGCTCAATTATATATTAATCCTATTATAGGGATCCAAATGGCCAAATCCCAGGAGTCCCTGTTCCAATAATACTCCTGGCTATGGACAAGAACCTCTGCCAATAATCTCATTCTAGGTAGCTTTTCACCACTGGGTCTTATCTAAAGAGGGATATTTCACTCCAGTCCAAATCTTATTCAGACCAAAATAGTTCTAGTTCAGCATACACAAAGTGCAATTTAGAAACTCTTCCTCATCTAAGTGTGGTCTTACATAATGGTTGAAAACCACTAGTCATATATTATAGACAAATATGTTTTTCTATCACAATAGTTTAGATCATTTCTGATTTGTGACATTCACTGAATCAAGAAAATTCACAACCATCACATAGTTTATACCTATAATGACAATTATGACTCTATTCTCTGTATTTTCTGGATAAGCTCTTCATCTGCACTTTATCGAAACAAACAGATGGGCCAGATTGCAATTTATGGTTATATTTATAGGCATGATTCAGTGGCATTACATTTACTGTTATTACATTAACTATTAATCTTACCTGTTAATAGAGTTGAGTTTACTAAAGAATCCCACAAATCTATAATATCTTTCCAATGACTTCATAGTATTATTTGGGCAAAAAATATATGGTATATACAAAAAGTATATGGTGCCATAATCAACATAATATGGAAATGTTTCCTTAAATTTTTATCCTAATTTATATAATGAATTAAAGATAAAACTAAAACATAAAGGGACAGATATAGTAATTTGAGCAGTTGAGATTCACTGGTGTTGCACAGAGGAGGATCATTTTCAGATCAAAGACAAAAACAAAACAAAATACTCTGAATGGCTAGTATACCACAGAACTTTTACAGAAAAAGAACTAAAAATGTAAACTATTGTAAGTGTTGCAAAAATGTGGCACACAGCTCACTAATATGTAAGGGGAGCACCAAAACCACAAATCATCCCCAAGAGGAAGTTAAAAAAGAAATGCACTAATGTGGATTTTTTAAATAATTAAATATAATATGTTAAAGGATAAGCTAAGAGGTGCTGTGACTGATAGTAATGAGAAATGAGGAATGGTAGATTCAAGTTCCTTTATGTCTGTTGTAAATTCAAAATTGGTGGATTAAAAGGTCACTTCCCTACTTGTTATGGTAAAAAGGCTAGGAAATAAATATTTTAATTTACCAGATGTCATGGTATAAACAAAATGGAGAGAATAAGAAATGCTATTTGAGACAGACTATCAGTAAATATCATTGCAGGGAAAAGCTGGCCTAGAAACCAGGACCCTGTGAATCCTAGTCTTGTTTTAGGCATGACAGCTAACTAGGTGAGTTTGGACAGTCACACTTTCAGTCCAACCCATCTCACAGGGTTGTTGTGGGGAAAACAGGAGAAGAAAGGCGAACGTTATATTCACTGCCTTTAATTACTTATAAGATAATAAAGGTGGGGTTAAAAAAATAAATAAAATCTTAGATCTTGATATGCAAGTCTATTAGTACATAGCAATAAACTTATAATAAACAAAGTTAACAACAAATTCATTTAGAAATTATATCTTTCATACTCTTCCATGGGAAGGCCTGTGACTGAGAAAAAGATATATTATAGAGATGAAGCCAGAGGTAGCAGAAGATTTACTAACACTGCAGTTAACAGAGCAGTAGCTGATGTAGCATTGAAGAGGCAATATTACTACCAGAAAAGGCTGCAAAAAGAAATGGAGAAAGACATTATACAAAAATAAATGTTTAGAAGAAATTATTAAGAAAAGACAGATATGATTAAGATGAAACTGGAATCAGAAAATTTTAAAGTTTGGTTACAGAAAAACCTGCAATAACACATTAAAAAATCTACCAATAAAAATATAGTAAAAGGTGAGGTAGTAAGAAGGAATTGATTTTGTGAGTGCTATTTAAAAAAGGAGAGCAGCAGGCAGAGAAGTCAGAACAGCCATCTGTTGCTGACAGAATAAAAACTACTAATGAACAAGATAGGCTAGATTTGAAAGAGTGGAAAAACATTTAAAAACCCTGCTGATACAGTTCAAGGATCTGTTTGATACAGTTCTTCAAAGGAATTATGGAGTCTGTTATTTGTATCTCTATAACTGTTTTGTTTGGCATGGCAACAAAACAGAAAGGTACAGACTTCAATGAATAGTTAGGATTGCAGAAAAAACCAGTCTGCCTTCTGTTGAGGACCTGTATATTGCATGAGCCAGAAAGAGGGCTGAGAAAATATCTACAGACCAATCACATTCTGGAATAACTGTTTTAACTTCTCCCTCAGGATATCATTATAAGGCATTGCGTGCCAAAAGAATTAGACACAAAGACAAATTTCCCCCTATGTTAAATACCTAATTCCCACAGCACTGTCTTAAGGTATTAAGGTATTTTACCCACTAGTAGCAGGGCTGTATTGCTATTATCCATCTCATCTTCCTCATCTTCTCATCATTCATACTACCATCTCCTTTTAGTCTCTTATGATTTAGCACTTGCTTGTATCTTATGATTTATGATTGTATCTTATGATATAGGACTTATCACTTTATTGTTTGTATGTACACTGAGAGCTTATGTACCAGAGACAAATTCCTTGTGTGTTCAATCACACTTGATCAATAAAGAATATTCCAATGAAAAAAAAATAAAGAAAAAGTTGATATTTCTGCTATAGTAGGGTAAAGAAAATGATTTCGAGCTCTATCATACTGACATACAGTAAAAAAAGTGAAGATAAAGCTAGAAAATTAGAACTAGCCTCAGATATATTGGAAAAGGCAGAGTAGTAAAATTCAGCTTCATGCTGTTTAAATTCATCTAAAACTGGAAGAAGTTAGTATCAATCTGAAAACTAAGCAATGGAAAATTTTCATCTCCTCTATCTCCTCAACACAAATATTTAGAAACTTGTAACAGCTTGCTTTCAGAAACTTACTAGCACCTTAGTTGATTCTAAAACTATAATGACCAATATGATGAAGCAGGACTGCGGTACAGTCCAGGCCAGGCCAGTCGATGGCTGACTGAAAAACTAAAAGCAAAAGAATAGATGATGGGAAGGAAATACAGGAATTCAGGAAACAAGGAGAGACAATTTTTTTGTTAAAAAAACTGTTTAAGATTATCTAAATATGTCCTGATATATGAATGTTCTAGCTTTTTACGATATTCCAGTTAGCTGTACAACTGGGATGGACTTGTATGAATTTCCTACTCTGAAAAGGCTAGAGGAAGAAGAACTCAGTATGAAGAAAGCAATCAAGAAATAAAAATCAGAAAGATCTACTAATTTGGATGGCCAGGCTGCTCTTGTTGGAGCATCTCTTCTCTGTGATGGAGAAAACTCCCTCTCCCTCCCGCTCTCTCTCTCTCTCACTAAATAAAAAGGAAAATTAAATTAAATTAAAAAAATAAAACAAAAGAAAAGTCAGATCCTGGAAATCCTTGTGAGAAAGTGAATAATAATTCTGTAATTATAGATATGAGTTTAACTGAAGTACTTCTGTAAAGATAACAAGTATACTATCTGGTCATACCATGCCATTCTTAAATTTTAATTGTTCGTGATCAATTCAATCTCTGACTAAATGATAAACTGCATGTGATGAGATATTATGCTAGGAAAAAGTTTCATAACCAATTAAAGAAGTGATGACATTAACTTAAACTCAAACCTGTTTACTATTTAAGAATGGTGGTAATGAAACTTTCAAGAATATTTAACTCCAAAATAAATTTATAGCAAATTATGCCATATTTGATCAAATAAGATTAGTTTCATTACTAGATCTACTTATCTACATTTGAAGTACATTTTGAACTCATGGGTGACAGAATCTCCTTTCTGCATACTGAAGGAATTATTAAAGGAAGATAATCTCATTTTAATGATATATACTCTGATAACATTGATTGTATCATATCAATGTATTTATTGTTTGTAGAGTGATCTTTGGGGATTGTTGAGAAATATTTCTGGCTTAGAATGTGAAGACATGGGTGGCAAGTCCTACCTTTACCCTTATCTTAAAAGTTACATCTGCTGTCAGTTGCTTTCCAAGTTGTCTTCTAAGATATTCCAAAGAAAAATGAAATTGCCTTTATTTAAATAGAATAAGAAATGTCAAGAAATTTATATTCCAGAAAATGTAATAAATATATTAAGCTTTTATAGAAAGTTACAGTTTGGTTTCTTAAGAAATATGAGGTTTTTTTTAACCTATGTAAATGTGAAGTAAAAATGTGAACCAACATAAATAAGACAACTTGAATCAGTGAAATGCATTTCTCAAGAAACAGACACTTACAGATTCTTTTTTGCTTATATTTCTGTTATGAGAACGAGAATGGGAAATTGTACTGAAAAAAGATTCCTTTTTGGTTGCAGACAAAGGAGGAGATCCAGTGGATTCACGTCCTCCAGGAAAACTTTCAATGCTTGGAGAGGGACTCCCATTTTTTGAACTTTGCCCTGCAAAACAAATAGAGAGGAGTCAAAAAAAATACGATGATGATGATGATGATCATCATCATCATCATCATCATCTGAATAGTGACTTTCAGAAGCAGATTTGCATACCATGAATTTTATGATATCAACACATCTATTGATATAGTGCAGATTGCTATTGCAAGGGACATGCAGGATGTATAGAGCTATTTACAACAAGTATTTAGCCACAAAGTGAGCAACAAAACAGATCTTGTACATAAAAACATACCTGCACTAAGAAAACCCAGCCAATATATATTTTATGTAGATACATTTGCAGTATGTATGCTATATGTAATTATATTATGGTTTAGATATTTTGAAGAAAGGAATGAAATGATGTAACGCATATAAATTATAAATACTTTTTAAGAATGAGAATATTAGATATTAATATGTGTCTGTGTGTCTGTCTGTGTGTCTGTCTCTCTCTGTGTGTTCCTCTTTCTCCCTACCATGTTTGATTCTCAGAAACTGCCAGAAGTAGTCCCCATAGTTTTGTATCAAAAATGCTTTTTTCTTTAAAAGGCAATTGGCCTGGGTTTTTCCCCCAGTTGCCTTTTGAAGAAATAAAGCACCTTTGAGACAATTATGACCTGGATGACTGAGAATCTCCACAGACATCCCTGAGGTTTACTTGGCGAAGTTCTTCAGAAGTGATTTGTTACTGTTACATCTTAGGGAAGAGAGAAACAGCAAACCCATCTGGCTTCATGCCTAAGGCAGGACTAGAATGGAATACTTTTGCTCAGTGTTATGTTTTAGACAAGGAATAGAGGTTAAAAAAAACCAAAATATGTAGATAAATATATCTAAATGCAATGAACAATAAATAGTAATAGGTATGCCCCTACAATGCAGCATTTTGTGGAAGTTTACATTTGTGTTATGCTCTTAATTCCAGAAATAGTGTTGCAGTCTCTTTTCATAACAGACAGGACTATGTGCTTAAAAAAACCCTTTATTTTCAGACATTCAAATTGTGGACCATAATAGATTTAAAAAAATGTGGCACAAATTAATTCTCATTACATTTTGATGTTTGATGCTTATGAACGAAAGCAAGTCGACAATATGTTATTTAAAAGCATTAAAATATTTCCATTACTATTGAAATACTTGGGGAAGCTATCAATCTAAGTAAAGTCAATAAATATAACAATAACACTCCAAATCATGCAGATGATATTATTTATTCTATTATTTCAGACAGAGAATAAGATGGTATCCTTCCCATGTCACATTTAAAGCCCCGCTTTTCTCCAGATACCTTGAGATTATAATCCCCAGACCTCCTCTGATATCTAGTGATATAATGCTTTAAACAAAATGAAAATCAAAATTGTAATGTGATTCTCTATAAAACAGGTGATTATTCTGTTTGTAATCCAGTTGAGGCAGGGGTGGGATTCAAATTTCTTAACAACTGGTTCTGTGGGTGTGGCTTGGTGGTCATGCGACTGGGTGGGTGTGGCTTGCTGACTGGGCATGGCTTGGTGGTCATGTGACTGGGTGGGCATGGCTTGTATGTAAATATTATAAATATTTACGTAAATATTCATTTTTTTATATAAAAAAGAGCAACTTTTACCCCAAAGCAGGCAAAGCAGGCAGGCAGATTTAGTTGCTCACAGAATCACAAATTAACTTAGAGATCTATCTATCTGCAATTGGCTACCTCAGTCTGCACTGAAAAGCTTCAGTCCTAAGGAAGGTTTGGCTCTGCTTTTAGATTAGCTAGAAAGCAAGAAATCCAAGGATTTCCTGCTTTCTAGCTAATCTAAATCTCTTGGCAGAGCGGAACAGCTGATGGTTGGAAAAAAAGAAAGGAAAAATATCAACTTACCAAACCAGGCAAGTTGGATGGCTCGCAGGCCAGGTAAGAAGTGAGTGGGTGGGAAGGGTAGGGGATAGCTAGTGGAGCGATTTGCCAGTTCTCCGAACTAGGAACAATCATGTGTGCAGCATTTGCAAGGAATCATCAGCTGTGCCACCTGGACAGCTGACAAGCGCTGTGCTCGGGTGTACAGCGTTTGAAAATCCTCTTGTATCCTGCTTTTTCAACCTCAGCTGTGGTGCGCAAAGCAGCTGAGGAGGGAAAAGCAGGGAATAAAGGACAGCCTAGAGCCCAGGCAGGCAGGTGGGCCAAACATTGAACAGGTTCAGTGTCAGCTGCTCTTCTCAGCTACAGGTTCTATAGAACCAGGCTGAACCAGTAGCATCCCACCCCTGATTTGAGGATCTGTAACCCAAATTTTCTAGCTATGCCAATTTAATTCATCTAATTTATTTTGAATGAAAGCTATCAATGCTGCCCCACAAATAATATTCACAGTAGAAATGAAAAAGTGCACTTTTGCTTGTTTAAGTACTGTGTTCTGTAATAAAGAACATTTATAATTATTTAACTTAAACCTTTATCAGTTTATTTTTCCTTTAATGGAATATTTAGTTACCAAAAGATTTTGTTACATGGAAATAATCTCTTGAATCAAAGGAGTATCAACAGAATGACCCTTTAATAATATTTTAATTGACAGAATTATCCTACATATTTTTGTATGTGAAAGAGGGAAATTTCACATGAAAGAGTAGAGATTTGCTATAAGCAAAATCAGCAGGCTTAGCAACATATCAAGGATAGGAACGTGCAATTCTGAGTTCAATTCCCTTGTGACTTCACATACACATATTTGTATTTTTCCTGGTAGTACAGAGAAATGATTTGGTATTACCTTTTTCTGGAATGTCTTTTCAACCTCTAGGGGTTCTATTTTTGGACTCCTAATCTGAGAACTTATACATATACATTCAAAGAATGCAGGTTTGAAAGCAGCTGCATGAGTATTAAATGGGATATCATGCCAGTGCTGAAACACTGAGTTGGTTGTTTGAGACTTATGACATCCAATATTAAGTGGTGATATTAGTTTACAAAGTCCTAAATGGCTTAGCAGTCAAGCATTTTTTAAAAATATTTTTCCTAAATACCATGGAACTTGTAATTGCAATTACCCAATGTTGTGGCCAGATAAGAGCTTTCTCAGCTGTTGAAGCTGTGGCTTTTCACCTAGGAGTTTATGAAATAATAATCAAAGTTCCAGATTTTTTTATAATTTATTCCAATTATTTATTTTTAAAATGAAGATTATTTTTAATATTTCTTTTTTAAAGCACTTTTGGTTTCATTATAAGATTATATTTTCTCCTATTTTTTTAAAAGGCTGCTCTGGGTTCTTATGCAAGGAAGATGCATATTTTTTTCTCTAAACAACAGTGCCACTTAGTGGATCTATGATATATGGTACTTATTTAAAAATTTCAAACCACATGTATCTTTGAGTTCCCAAACAACAATATTATAGACAAAACGTACCATGTATTACTGTAGTAACTGTCCCATGAAGGTTGCTTAGATTCCGGACAGGAACCGATACCTGGGCATCACTGCCTTTAACTACTTCTCCTAGTAAGCAAAGTTAAAGATATCTTTATAGTAAAACAAATGGTCATATCTTCCAAATTTCATATGACCAAAGAAAGGACAATGAAGTTATATATTTTTAAAAAAACTGATCTGGTCTGTTTTTTTTAAATAACAAGTATGCACAACAACTGTTCTATTCCAATGGTATCAGCTTGAATATTCCACTTATCTCAATATTTTTTAATTTTAATGGAAACAAGTTAATAGTGCAAAATAAGTATTAGAAAAAACAATACTCTAAATTTCTGCTTAATTCTATGCATGTATTATACATATATTGCTCTTGGCTCTTCCTATACTGTATAACTGATTCTGACATAATGCTATTAATAGCAGCATTCCAATAGAGTTTAGAAACTTGATAGTGATCATACAAATGCTAGTGGTCCATTCTAAGAGTAAGTAACTCCAAAAGCACATAGTAGCATGGTTTAAATGCCTTTACATCACCAGGAATAATTTCAGAATAATTCAAAACAAGGACCAAACAGTTTTATGTATCTACAGTTAAGCTAGGCCCATTACAGAAAAGTTTCAAAATATTATGCTGAGTTCTATTATTTAAAGTATAACAATGAACATAGCATGCAGCATTTAAGTTTGTGGTCATTTAAAAAAACATTATAAGTCATTGATCCATGGGCTTTTTGTGGATAAGAGAATGTTATGTTCAGCTTTAATTGTTTGATTTACAGACTATTCACAAGGGAGGACAAAAAGAAGGATTTCAATGACCAAAAAATAACTTGTTTTCTAAGTCTTGTGAGAAAATATTTTAAAAGCATTTAGATGACAGTAGGGATTGTTGTCAATTTGGTTGAAAATGAGATGTTTTCTGTTCGAATAAGAAATAATTATTTCGGAATAAATATGGACTGTGCGGTCACTTGATTACGCTGTTTTTTTAATCCCATTTGAACAAGCTATCAGGGAAATAAAATTTATATTGCACAAATGGAATTGGAAGAACTTCAGTCAAATGAATTAAAGAATACTGATCAAGTTCCTTTATTTGTAGCTAGAACTTGATACAATTAATGGCAATGCAATGTAAAATGAGTATTTGTGCGGCTGGGGGAAATAGAAATGTTAAGAAATGGTCATGACATAAATGAAACACTATTCCTTTGTAATACAAAATTTGACTTTTTACTCTTTCATCCTGTCTGATTATGTTTATTCTTTTTATTTATTTGTTGTTTCACATTTATTGTAACTTAATCGGACATAATGTTATATAACATTATAGTAGTAGGACTAATCATCCATGGAGTATTGAACTCTTCTTCACTGGCTGTAGAATAGCCAGTTGGATAGAGGCTACACAGAATGGATGGGTTTAATCACCTAGATGACTTTTTTTCTGGTTTAGGCCTATTGATTATAAACAGAGCAATTTATAAGTTAAGTTGTTGGAGTATCTCCAGTTAGGGAAAGGATGGAAGACCATCCTAATGTGTTCCAGATGATTGCTCCTTACATGGATATCACAGGACAATAGTTTTCTGTGGGTCTGAGCACTGGGATCAGCCATCTGGCTCACAACTTCAGCGGAGCCTTTTGAAGGGCACTAAGTTTGCACACTTCTTTCTAATTTTTGGAAATTCCTTGTTAACATTTTAAAATTATTAGAGATCTTTAGAATGACAAGTCTGAAAAATCTTTATTGGGAGAGTTTATCTTCAACTCTAAACAAAAGAAAAAATAATTATAAGCTGAAGAGCTTAAAAATCTTGAAATAAACAGAAAAAGCTATTAAAATTTTATTTAAGAAAGTATAAATGGATTAAGGGTCCATATAAATCTGAAATATTGATGTTTATTATAAGATAATGGAATTTATAAAAATACCTTGTCATGGGAAACAGACTTATTTTGATTATCCTGTCTATTGCAAGACAGAAGAAAAGTGATGATTTTAGAAACTTGACTCTAAAGGGGATTAAAGATTTTATGCTGAAGGAAAAAAAATACAACTCTGTTCTTGATATCGGTTAATATTCAGGCTTACAAAATGATACAAGAGGTTATAACATCAGAAATATTAAAGAAGAACTTTGAGGATTAAGGCCAGAAATTAATAAGTATAGTATCAACTCTGAGTAATGATGTCTACTTTTATGGAAAGACTATGTCTGAAAGTTGTAAATGAAGGAATGACATGATCAGCAACAAATTTTATCTGACAAAAGACAAACAAAGTAAAAAATGTGAAACTGCAAATAACAGGCAATGATAATGATTTGGAAAAAGATGTATTGGATATACAAAAGAAACTGGCTGAAGTTTTAAAAGTTAAAATGATAAATTGAGAAAATTACTTGGAAAATGTTTTTTATTAGATCTACAAAAGAGGCTTGTTAAAGCCTTGAAGAAATCTGTGTAATGAGATAAAGAAGAATTGAAGAAGAACCAAATCCTGTGACAATATTTGTCTGAACAAATTAAGATTGTTATAAGTAAAAGGAAGGAATATGAAATTGGGATCTTTTTTTTGACTAAGGTTAAACTAAGACATTTTTGGAAATTTTTTGCAGCCCTTTCTGGACTTTTTACTGACACCATAATTGGAAAGTGGATGTTAATGGATTTTCTAAGATAGGGGATGGGATATGGATATGGAATCCAGAGATATCAGTTTAGTGATGAAATATTGAATTTGTTTATATTGTCATGAAGGCTGGAAGTCATCTCTCTCTCTGAAATTATATATTTTTTTCTTTTTCTTTTTTTCCTGCACTTTTTCTTCTTTTTCCTTCTCTTCTCTTTTCCTAGCATTAATTTGTATTAATTTTTAATATTGTAATTCAAATTCTTAATAAAAATTATACTCAAAATAGCTATGACAATAAGGTGGCAGAATGGCAGTATTTATATTGGCTGCAAATACATTCATATTAGGAAAATGGTAAAATGAATTAATGTAATATATTTTTGCAATAACATAGGGGCATGCATTTCCACTCGTTAAACTTATACAGAAGCAGAGTTATGTTGATACTAGAAGAACGCAACAAATAGTGTTAAAGACAGTTAGTAGGTTATCATTTTCATTTTTAACTGGAGGCATTTGGAATTCAGAGCATTTTTATAAAACATAAAATAAACATTCTGTTTTAACGCTGGCATTTGGTTTATAGCAAGCTGATTCCCATTTCATATTTTCAATTACCAGGCAATATTTAAAAAAATAAGTTTTGGAAGGAAATCTGTTGGATGCCCCTGATTTACAAAATAAACACATATTTAAGAGTATATTGTGCATTCAGCATTTGCAGACAACAGAAATTGGACAAAGCAATAGAGTGGTCAATGTCTGGAATACTCTACCTGACTCTGTGGTTTCTCCCCCAAACCCCAAAAACTTTAACCTTAGACTGTCTACTATTGACCTCACCCCTTTCCTAAGAGGTCTGTAGGGGGTGTGCATAAGCGCACCAATGTGCCTACCGTCCCTGTCCTATTATTTCTTTTATTTTTCTTATATGTACCCATTTCCTGTATTCATAACTATGTATATACTTATACCTATTATCTTGTAAGCAATTGACAAATCAAAATAAATAAAAAATAAAATAAAAAATAGATGTAATGAGAAGGGAAATACAGCAAACAAGGAAACTGAAATTGGGAAACAGTTGGAAAATCTGGCAAATAAATTATGTCAGATAGGACATGATAGCAAACGAAGATGAGTAATGTTCAAATTGATATCCAGATTTTATATCATCATCCTACGTTATGCTGAAAGTTTTTTTTATCTTGATCACAGATTTCGGTTTTCAAAAACAGAAATGGCATATTTTTACCTTTGCTTAGCTGAACTGGAACACTTTCAGATTTCATCATTCTTTGCTGCTGAAATGGAGGGAGTTCTACTGTGCTCCTTGTGGGCATGACAACAGAAGAAACATTGCCACTGCTACCTGCAACTGGAAGAGTTGCACTGCTAGAAGTCATTGCTGGGGAAATCAGCTTGCGACCAAAATTCAATAAGCTACTAGAAACCTTATTTATGTTCAGAGGAGCAACCTTTGCATTGACACTGAAAAAGAAAAAAGAAAACAAACTGCTGCTATCATGTTTAATTGACACTACCAAACTAATAGGAAAATTTCAAAATGAGTTTGTTGTAATTAAGGACCCCCCTCATCCCATTAAAATATTACAATGATTCTAGAGAATATAATGCAGTATTATTCTACTTGTAATACTAGTTATTTCTAGGGAGGTAAATCGTTTCATTCTCTGGAGCCTTTGAAATTCACAATGAACTTTGTTCCTCAGGAACAGTTTTATTTACTGGAAAAAACAAACTTGTCTATTTTAGGAATATTTTACAACCAATATCATTCATTCATTCATTCATTCATTCATTCATTCATTCATTCATTCATTCAATTTTCTGCCCATCTTGTTTCAAAGTGACTCTGAGCAGCTTACAGCATGCGAATGTTAAAACCATCAGAGATAAATATTTCAAACACAAAATGAAAATACAATGAAAATAAAATCATAATTACAAGATGGGAAAGAGGGAGCCAGATTTTGGAGAAGGGGTGAGAGGTTGGATTTCATATTAACTAATCAACCACTTCCGGTGTGATACTCCCCTGTTGGGGCCTCAAGCCATTTGTGAGAACAAAATCTTAAGACTCTTGCCAAAGATTAGAAGGGTGAGAGTCAGGGGTGGGATCCCACTGGTGTAACTACCGGTTTGGTGATTTGCAATTTGCGCGCGCATACGCGCTTCGCACGCCTGATGCACACTACACATGCGTGTGAATCCTCTTCAGCTTGCTGCCTGGACAGCTGAGCAGTGCTGCGCACGGGTGCACAGCAGTTGAAAAAGCACTTTTTTCCTGCTTTTTCAACTACAGCTATGCCGCACAAAGCAGCTGAGATTGAAAAAGAAGGAAATAAAGGACAGGTAAGAGCCTGGGTGGGCAGGTGGGCCAAAACAGCAGCAGACATAGAACTGGTTGTATGTCTGCTGCTCTTCAGAGCTACTGGTTCTACAGAGCCAGACAGAACTGGTAGAATCCCACCCCTGGTGAGAGCCAATCTCACCTCAGAAAGTAAGATATTTAACAGGGCAGTAGTCAGGGATGGATAGAGATAACAGATAGAAATTAGGCGAGAATGATCATTGCTATGTATGAATTAAATACAGAAGGTTGATAATTATAAACATGTTGATATAATTAACAAAATTAGAAATAAGCCAATACAAAGAAATTTAAATAATTTTTCTGTTACACTGCTATATTTATTGATATTTAAATATCAATATGTAATAGCAGTGCAACAAAACAATTTTCATTTATGAAATATTTTATAATACTTTATAATATAATAGAAGTACAGAGGTAAAGTAAGGATATATTGTTATAGAATAGATTGGTGATGATGAAATGAACATTATAAAGTAGATTAAGTAAAAATTGTGATTTGCTGGCATAAAATGATGTAATATTAGTAAAGTCTAGTAAGTAATTAATAATAGTAATAATATAAATATATATAGTGGATTTATGATATAAGGATTAATGCAAATTGGAAGGGAAAGACTGCAAAGATTGTGCACAATGATTTGTACCAACTGACACACTGTATGTAACTGAAGATCGTTTATGTTTTATGTTTGTTTTGTTTAAAAAAAATAAAAAACTTGTATTTAAAAAAAAGTTCCATTTATGTATGCATGCAGGTTTTTGTTATATTGTTGCTATATATTGATTTAAGCAGAAACAGATAAGGTATAACAACAATGTAACAAGAAGTTGCCTGCCTCATTTTTGGTAAGTTGCTTTTTTATTTATTTATGTATCTATATGTAACATTGCTGTAACATTTTGTTTCCATTTATGTTATATTGATGCTATATATAGATATTTGTTTTGATTTGTTTTTTCCCAATAGGAAAAAACAAAGGAGAAAGAAGCATCAAGATGAATAGTAAAATAATTTTTATTTATTTATGTATTTATTTATTTCTTTAGTATCTGTTTTATTTTTATGATTAATAAAAACAAAAACAGATACTAATAAATAAATAAATACATAAATAAATAAAAAAACAACTTACCAAAAACGAGGCAGGAAACTTGGCTAGCCAGCTACGCCAGGGTCCTCCTCAGTCTTCCAGCTTGCTGCAGCGAGGACGCCAGGGTCGCTATGCCAGGGTCCTCCTCAGTCTTCAAGCTTGCTGCAGTGAGGACGGCTGGCCCGGGAGTTGGCACTTGACCGGGTTGGCGGCGGCAGCAGGAGAAGGTAGGCGACTGGTAGGCTTGCTGCTTTGCATCCTCACTCACCAAGTGATGGGAAGGCAAGGCAGCAACCCTTGGGCCGCGGTGGTCGAAGGATGGTGGTGCCAGATTAGCCAAGATGGCGGCTGCCGGCCGGCCTAGCCAAGATGGCGGCCGCTGAGTGGACGAGGCAGCAGCAGCCGGCCCGGGAGTTGGCACTCGACCAGGCTGGCAGTGGCAGGAGGAGGTAGAGGACCGGCGGGACTTGCTGCTTTGCCTCCTCACTCACCAATTGGTGGTGGGAAGGCAAGGCAGCAACAAGGGCTGTGGGCGAGGGAAGATGGTGGCGGGCGAGGCAGGGAGCATCGGCGAGGGCAGTGGGTATCCTGGGAGTTGACACTTGACTGGGGCTGTCAGCAGCAGGCAGGAGGCCAGGTCATACTTACCAATCTGTGTCTTTGGAGGCCAGGGTAGGCAGTCTGGGCGGGCGAGGATGGCTGGCGGCGGCAGCGGCCAGGGCTTGTGTCTTCTTTAATGGCAGCCACTGCGGGAGGCAGGCCAGGCAAGGCAGGGCCTGGGAGGAAGGCCGGTCGGGCGAGGGCGGTTCGCGGTGGTGGCGACCGGGGCTTGCGGCTTGCCCTCACTCAGCAGGGTGGCAGAAGGCAAGCAGTGACAGCTGGCTGGATGGCTGGGCTGCTTCGGCTGCTGCTGGTGTAAGTGATGGTGCCGGGTGGGAAAATTTTTGTAGGTAGCGCACATGCGCTATAAGTAGGGGTGGGGCAGGGAAGAATGAGGCATGGATTTTTGCACATGCATGAAAAATCTGCATGTGCAGTAAAAGAAAAACCGGTTTTTTTAGTGTAGGAGCGGCAGATAGGGGCAGGGGCTGGGGCCAGTGAAGGGAGGGGTGGGCGGGGGAGAATGAGACAAGGATTTTAATGCATGTGCAAAAAATGTCACGCATGCACAATAAAAAAATTGGTTTTTGTCCTGTAGGAGTGGTGGAGAAGGGAGGGGCCAGCGAGGGGTCGGTTTTACTGGTTGTTAGAACTACTGGTGACTTTAACAACCAGTTCTATAGAATCCAGTAGAATCCCACCCCTGGCAGTAGTCATGGCCAAATAATGGAGGAAGAGTTGGAAAGGACCTTGGAGATCTTCTAATCCAATCCACTGCTCAAGCAGGAAACCCTATACTATTTCAAACAAATGGTTGTCCAATCTCTTCTTAAAATCCTCCAATGATGGAGCACCCACAGCTTCTGGAGGCAAGTCATTACACCAATTAATTATTCCCACTGTTGGGAAATTTTTCCTTAGTTATAGGTTGGTTTTTTCATTGATTAGTTTCCATCCATTGCTTCTTGTCCTGCGTCAAGAGCTTTGGATAATAGATTGACCTCCTCTTTTTTGTGGAAGTTCCTTAGATATTGAAACACAGTTGTCATGTCACCTGTGATTCTTCTTTTCATCAAACTAGACATATCCAATACCTGCAACTGTTCTTTGTATGTTTTAGTCTCCAGTCTCCTAATCATCTTTGTTGCTCTTCTCTGTACTCTTTCTAAGAGAGTCTCAACATCTTTTTTATATTGTGTTGATCAAAACTAGATGCAATATTCCAGGTGTGCTCTTACCAAAGCATTATATAGTGGTACTAACACTTTATGTGATCTTGCTCAAATTCCTTGGTTGACTGCATCTGCAGTATGCCCCTTCTGTTAATGCACGTGGGGCAGGCAACTCCCCTAAGGGTGATAGGGTTTTTCAAGTAACGCGGGTCCATGCTATGCAGGGTTCTAAAGATAATAACCAACAGCTTGAATTGCACATGTGAGCAGACCGATAACCAGAGCATTTCACAAAGCAATGGTATATCATGGGCCATTCTATAAGCCCTAAAACTGTCCACATCATTACACTCTGTACCAGTTAAAGCTTCAAAATGCTCTTCAAGGGTAGCCCATGTAAAGTGAATGCAGAAGTCCAAATGTGAGATGACTAGGGCTTGAGTGGCTGAACACATGAATTCCTAATCCAGGAAAGGCCATAACTGGCACACCAGACAAAGTTGTATAAAGGCTTTCTTAGCCTTGACTATATCAGGATTCCGGCAGTTACTCCAATTAAATCATAAGCCTCAAGCCACGCTCCCAAAATTCCAAAGGATTTATTACAAGTTAATTTCCCCACACCTGTCTGGGTGTATCATCCAATGAAACATGTCCATAGCCAAGAGTCATCAATCATGCTCTCCAATTATATTTTTGCGCGGCTGAAGCTTCAGTCATCTAATTTGAAGAAAATATGAATGGAATGTACTTTCGATTCTACACTGCTGCCTGCTCTTTGAAACTCACGCCCCCTCTTTCTGTTGACAACTATAAAACATGTATACAAAATGTTTTATGAGTTGACAGACTATCACCTACTCTTCAAACAAGAGTCATAAGTCCAGGAGAACCCACAAGTTGCAGGCTGGGTCTGTCTGGAGTAATGCCATCCCATCAAGATCAAAGCATGTCAAAGTCCTGTGTCTTGAAGTTTCATGAATCCAAATCCATTTGGTCTTGATAAAGTTCAGCAAAGCCTATTGTCCCCCATTAAGGCACCCACAGCCTCCAAGCTCCATGAGAGGGCATCACTTGGATCACCGGGGTGGAGATATAAAATTGAATATCAGCATATTACTGATAATACCTCAACCCATGGTGGTGAATGTTCTCACCCAGTAGCTTTAAGCAGGTGTTAAAAAGGAATGGAGAGAGTACTAAGCCCTGCAGCATACCACAACCATG